GTGTGTATATATATATATACATTGCACATTTTCTTGATCCATTCATCTACTGAGGGGCAACTGCGTTGGTTCCATATCTTAGCTATGGTGAATAATGCTGTGATATACATAGTTGTGCTGACAGCTGTAGTATGGCCTTGTTTGTGGTCATTTGGGTAAATGCCCAGAAGTGGGATTGCTGGGTTATAGGGGAACTCTGTATTTATTTTAATCTTTTGAGAAACCTCCATACCGCTGTCTAGAGTAGTTAAACAAGTTTACACTCCCAACAACAGTGCAGTAGCATTTCCTTTTCGTCCCATTCCCTCCAGCATCTGTTGTTATTAGATTTCTTGATTATAGTCATTCTAACTGGGATGAGGTGGAATATCAATTTTTTGATTTGCATTTCTTTTATGGCCAGAGATGTTAAGCATTTCTTCATGTGTCTATTGGCTATTCTTATTTCTCTTCAGAGAAGTCTCTATTAAGGCTTTAGTGTACTTATTAATGGGGAAGTTGTTTCTTGTAGGTTTTTTTGGGGGAGATTTAATTTTTTGAACTCTAAGTATATTTTAGATATGAGCCCCTTGTCTGTTATAAATAGTTATGATATATAAATATCTAGGATAACCCTAGCAGATGAGCAGAATAGCTCAATAGCTATGTACATATGACCATATAAGATGATGCTAAGAGAAATGAACTCCAAGATATGGACACAAGAGGATTTAGTTTGTTGCTGTTTTTAATGTATTGTGTAATTGCTTGTTTCTTTTGTATGTTCTTCTCACTATAGTATATCCCCTGTTGTCACTGTATTTAATTTTGGTACCCTAGTATTGTATATACATTTATTTGAATTAAGGAAGGGAAGGGGAACAACAGAATGGTGACAGAAAGGACAAGGGGGAACCATTGTAACAGCGATATTCACGAGACTGTATATTGGAAATGATCTGTACAACTTGGGGGGGGGAAGGAAAGTGGGAGAAAAATGAGGGAAGGGGTAACAAGTTTGACAAGAAATGTACTTAGGAGGAGACAACAATGCTTGATAAGAAATGTACTCATTATCTTGCCCATGTAATTGTAACTCCTCTGTATTTTCACAATTAAAAAAAAGAAAAGAAAAGAAATGCATTTATTACCTTACTTATGTAACTGTAACCCCCCTGTACATCACCTTGACAATAAAAGAGTTATACATACTGCTTCTCCGTAGTGTGATTCTGAACTTCCTAGTCAGATTGATGTAATTCTTTACTTATTCCTAGTCATCCCTTAAACTAAAGTCTGAGAAATTTCAGACAAGGAGCTATAGCTCCCATTTCATCAATGTCTAACTCATTACTTCCAGTGTATACATCAGTACATGCATAAAGATCTTAGAAACACATAAAGCAGAACATATAGAGAATGAAACATACAAAGCATAAACAGTTTCAAAACTCTAACAAAAATTATAATGTGTGCATATGTTGACTCAGCGTAAAAGTTAATTCCCACACAATTCAGATAATGAACCAAGGTATTCATTGATATCCATTTTGTATTTATAATCTACCACCTAACAACAGATTTTGAACTAGTTATTAGAAATCTCAGCAATATATAAAAACGTACTTAGAAAGAAAATAATATTGGAGATCACCTCCCTCTCCCTCAAGAATATTTTCTAAACCATTCTGGTTTCATTTTCCCCACATTTCCAGTTTTATAAAATGGTGGTATTAAATGCCAATGAGGCAATATTTAGTCTAACCTGAGGTGCTTATAAGAGGGTAATTACTTGGCACTTGAATAGTATGTAAGTGTCCAACCTCTAGGTGAATCACTCATTTGCCAAACATAGCATTTATTTATTATTTCTAAATGTTAAAAATATATGAGAAGCATTTAAAAAAAAGTGGGTCCTTTTTCCCCCTTTCGCAATCAAGTCCAGTTTATTTTGGAAGAGAGAAAAAATTCAGTCATGGTTGGATTGGGTAAAGGAAAAAACTAAAAAAGAATATGATAATACTGGGCAAGCCAAGGAAGCAGGAGGTTGTGTTTGAACTACAAAACAGCAGTTTCTTGTGGCTGTCTGAAAAAGCATGGCATAGACCACTTCCCAAATTAGTAATAAGCTTTTAGTTTTACTTAACTCTGGTGTGCATGTGTGTGTGTGTGTGTGTGTGTGTGTGTGTGTGTGTGTAGACAGAATTCAATTTAATGCAGACTTGCTTCTTCTATATCTTCTGTTCAATGATTTATATTGTTTGGGAGCTTTAAAATATGTTAATTTAGTCAATGGTGAAGCAAGCCAGGCCCAAAGAAACATAGGTCCCATGCTTTCCCTTACCTGCAATAATTAATATATGTCTGGGACAAGCAGAAATGGTGAAAAAGCTATGTACATATGACCAAATAAGATGATGTTAAGTGAAATGAACCCAAAGATAAGGCCACAAGTGTTTTTTATTTTCCTTTCTTGCTGTTGTTCCTAATGTATTTATAAAGTACCACGTGATTTTTTTGTTTCTTTGTATGTTCCTCCCCCACAGTATAACCCCTGTTTTCACTGTATTTGATGTCAGTGCCCTGAATCTTTTATATACACTTCTCTAGCTTGGGGAGGCAAAGGGGAAAAATAAAATGCTTAAATAGGGATACCTATTGTAACAATGAGATGTACAAGATACTATGTTGAAAAACAAACTTTACAATTTTGGCAGGGGTGGGGGGGTAGCTATGGAGGTGGGAGGGAAGGGATGGTAGGGGAAAAACAAAGGAGGAGGAGGAGGAAACAATGCTTGATAGGAAATGTACTCATTATTTTGTACTCATGTAGATGTAAACCCTCTGGACAGTATTTTTACAATAAAAATCGTATTAAAAAAATAAAAACACATTAAGTATGGCAAAAAAAATTAAGGACAAAATGAGCATAATCAATGAAGTTAAAGTTAACAAAGATCTTTTTATGCTATAATTTTAATAGTTGTAGAATCATATAAGTGCTGTTGAAATAAACTTTTAAGCAACTAGCAGGGAAAACATTGATTGGGAAAAATAATATTATCTAAAAAATGTATCATGAGAAAGACTCCTATTGAAAGCAAACTGCAAAAATTGGCAGGTGGTATGAATGATTTTATGTTATAATTAAAAACAAAAGTAGTCCCATAATAATTTGTATTTGGCATTAAATTACTAGGCATAATTGTAGAATTTTTTTTCTACAATCATGTAATTATTTCGGTGAGTTTAAGGGGTCATTCAACTGAGAGTAGCTGAACACATAAGGAAGACAATTTGTAATTAATAGTGTGTGTGTGTTTTCAGAAGAAGCAAATCATAATAGAAAATGAATATTGTCAATATTTCAATCTCATACACGAAGATTTTGTCCATATTAAAGCCTGTATTTATTGTGTCAAATGGTAGCATCCTTTCCTATCAAGGGTGAGGTCCTGAGTTCAAGTACTACTGTCACAAAAAAGTGTAAATTTGAATAGATGTCAATTTTATAACTTAAAGTAAAGATAACTTTAGCTCTATTTTTCATGACCTAACTCTTGATGATTTATGGTAGAGATATTATGTGAAATCTGAAAACTGGCTTAATCATTACTTATTAATACTAAATCAGGATTATGTGTAGAAATATATTGTCTATAATTTTTGGCTATGTCTGACTTGAGAATTTTTATCCACTAATTATATATCAAACCTACTTGGAAGCTTCTGTGTACTTTTAGCACACTTCAACTTTACTACATTAGCACAGGAATAGTCTTTGCATGTGCAAAATAAGATTGATATAGTCTCTGGCCATAGTGAGGTTATCAGTCCTGATATTAAGAAATTCTTGTTAATAAAACTTGCTCAAGTGTGTGTGTAATTTTTACAAGATTATATGCATAATTGTTCTGAAATATATATATATAGTTTTGAAGAATAATAAGGTATATACATGTACAATTGTGTGCATACAATTGTGTCTCTGTGGAAATGTCTCATATGAACATATAGTTCAAGACTTAAAATTAAAAAATTATTAGGATCTCAGGTAAAATATATACATGCAAAAGATTTTCCCTCGAAATCTTTCTTCAATTTTTGAATTGTGACTTACGGCACAAATTAAGCTAGATAAATGTAAATCTCCCTTATGCTAAGCCAAGAGTGACACTTCTGTAGCTGATTAAGCTAACACAATTAATGACATGTGATATTCTAAAAATAACTGAGCTTCAAATATAGTATAAAAACAATTGGGATGGATAAACTTACCTGTGAAGAATTATCTTTTAAGTCAGAAAACAAATGTTCTTCATTTCTGTTAGGTAAGCATGTTGTTAACTGAGTGTGTGGTCTAGAATAGATGCTTAACTCTCAGTGCTACCTTCTGGTTTTCTTGTCTCAGAGTTTGCTCTCGGCAATGTGTGTATTTATCTCTTTCAAGTCTTTAACTCCCTGTAGTATTCTATCTATGCTTTCTCTTAGGAAATTTGTGTTATTAAAATGTACACAATGACACACAGAACACACAGGAATCTACACAAAGGCTAAACAATCATACGTATTATTAGCATTCAAGCAAATTTTTGAATGTACCTTGCTATAACTGTTAAAAAAATGACTAGTTAGACATTTTTAGTTTTTAACAACCAGTTATTTGCTTAATCCATGCTTCTATCTATGTAGTATGAAGCTTATAAACACTTCTAGCACTAGACTAGGATTCAAACATTCAATAAAGCACATTTACTGTGACCAAGATTAAATCATACATTGTTTAAAATTAATTATTCCTTTTTAATTAGATTGTATAAACAGAAATGACCTATTAATTTAAAGAAAATCTATCCGCACAAAATGAATTCACTCTTATAAACAAGCAGGATGAACTTGACCTTGTTTGAACTTGTTTTGATGTGGCCCAGATGGTAGGCTACATGCTTGAATAGCAGGCTAAAGCTGAGGAAAAACTCATATAGCAAGATCTAGATTTATAGCCTTCTGCAAATTCCTACCTTGTATTGTCCTTTCTGCATCTGTTCTACCGCCGCTGCGGTCAGCTTCTATCTCTGGGGTCAGAGAGTCTAAAAGCACAAAAACGTACAAGTGACATATATTTCATTTGATTCTTATTGTCCTTTTTTTTTTTAAAGAGCAACCTGTTAACTTGGATGCTGAACTAAAATCACATAAATCTTTGTCATTTTTTAAAGGTTGAACAGAAACTATAGCTGTAAGAATTTTCAAGAGATTGGAACAGATGAGAAATGTGATATTGTCCCCTAAGATTAAAAACGAGTGGAATGTCTTAGATTAATATTTTATCATGTTTCAGTAGAAAAAGATTTGGTTAAGCACAAAAGCCAATACCAGGTCCCAGAGATGAGTTAAATACCAAAAGGTAGAAGCACTTATGCAATAAAGCATTTCTCCAACACTTTCTTCTTGACACGTACATGTTCAGGTATAAGCGTAGCTGAATGAATTACAAGTTACAAAAATATAAAAGAGGAAACATATGTCTAAATCGCCCTTTGAGTTTTAAAAATCAGCGTTGGCCATGCAGAAGCATACACATTCTTACCATTAAGGACCCTGAGACTGTCCGTGGACGCTGCCTGTTTTAGTGTCTGTTCCGCTTGCTCACGCCGTTTTGTCTCAAATTCAAGTGCTTCCTGCAATTTTCTCTTTGCCTTCTTTTCCTTCTTTAGTCTTTTTTGAACAATAGCTAGAAAAGAGTGTACGCACATTACTTAAAAAACACATGTTGTAATATTGCTGATAATTTATAAATTTTCTATATTTTTTCGTTTTAATCAGTATGTTTTGCCTGATAGGTTGAATCTAACATGTAAAATGGAAGTTCAAAAACCAGCTTTACCTAAAAAATTTCCCAAGAAACAATTTTTATTTTAGCTTTGAACTATTATGCTACAAGTATGATTTTAAATGTCCTATGTAGAGATAAATCTAATGGGGTGCTAATTTTAATACATATTTGTGTGTAGTGATAAAGGAAGCTTAATTAAATATATTTTATGGCTTACTTCTAAGACTTTGAATAAGAATAGGGTAGAGTGGGTTGAATAGTGAAAACCCAGTTTTTATTAACTGGTCTTCCATTTCCTGATGCATTTTCCCCAAAATTGCTGGATTAAAAAGTATTATACCAACTACTTTTGCAACAATATTTTTGGAAATTTAGAAAACATAATAAATGTCTTTATACAAGGAACAAAGTACTGTTATTATCAGGATATACCTATATGTTGATACATACATATAATTTAGATAAAATTATTATACTCTCAGAGAATAATTTCTCCATAGCAAATGTGTAGCACTATATTTCAAGAAAGTGGTTACATTTTCTCTTTTCATGCACCTATCTGGTGGATTCTATAACCTCACTGTTAATTATAATATACTTAATAATGTGTTTTATATAATAAGTAGGTATTGATAAAAGGCAGGTGATTAGTATACATTTGTTTTCATATATATATATATATGCACACAAAAATAAATTTACTTCTCAAAATTTGTTTTAACCCTACTGATGTTATACCTAAACCATAACTTTGTCTATACAAATATTTAATAACTCATTATCACAAAGGAAACATACATATTTTTATTTGAAATTATTTTTATAATTTGCGAATTTTATGAAAATGATCAATATTATTGATATGACAAAAGCAACAAGAGAAACTTTATTTATCATGAGCAATAATTGCAAGAACAGTGTTTGCTTCCTTACTACTACTAAATAAAAATACCATTTCATAAAACAGTCAAATAATTTAAGAATTTTAGTTTCAGTTTCTAATCTCTACATATATTATTGCTTTCGGTTTTTTTTTTATCATCCCTAATGTTGTTAGTTAACAATGCTAATGTTGTCACCCCTGTAAATGGCACTTCACTAGCTTCTCAAGTTTTTCATTGCTGTATCTTGTATCTTCAAAATTCATTTACCAAAGTTATACTGAATATAGTAAGAAAGTCAACTCAAGCATTTCATATAAATGCTAACTTCCTTTTATTTAATAGTGTAAGAATCATGCTTAACAAAATTACTTTCTCACATTCCTTTCCAAATGTGACCATGTCTTTTTAGAAAGAGGCAGTAATTCTTGATTCCCACATTATCCATTCCTATAATACTAAAACTCGTTCCCCAGCATCCTGCCATTGCCCTCTCATTGTCTGTCTTATGTGATTGAACCAAGTAAGGCTTTCATGTGCTCTTTAAGAAGTACTACCCTTCTTCAATAGACATATTCACAAGAGGTAAATATTCATCATTATAACCTTAAAATTTCCATTCATAACTAATTAAATGGGAAGTTCATGGTTTGGTCTATGAATGTTTTGCCCTCTAGTGGTTAAAGGAATGAAACAGAATGTAAAACTTCTTGTGTTGCAACCAATAAAATTCTGAAGATCTTTCATGTATGCATAGCATTATTTTAGAAATAAAATAATCTGTCTTTCAGCCTTATAAAAAGAAGAAGAACTAAAATCAACAAGAATTCCCCTAGTAGAATAAAGTTAAGATATGACTATTAAATGGTTGATGGCTCTACAGAATGAACCCTTTACACCAAATACGAAACTCACTTGAAATGCACCCTTTATCAATGTTTATCTTGCTTTAATTATTTTAATACCTTAATCTAGGTGAAAGTTATATTGCTCAGAACCATAAAATACAACAGAGTTCTCTTAAATCAGACTTATATCAGGAACCCCTTACCTAGTGCCCCATGATACTAATGAAATGATCAGTTAAGTCCTCCTATCGTTTCAAAAGCAAAGCAAAAGCAATGATCTTGAAATGACCATCTCAAAAATATAAAAGAAGAATGTGTGAAACATGAATACTGGGTACCTATTCAATGAGAGAAAAATGATTTTCTTCTTTGCTAGAACACTCAGGAGAATCTTATATTTGAGGAAAAGGGAATGGTGGGGTGGGGGGAGGTGATGTTGGCTGTAAATACTCCTCAAATTCATAAGTAAAAGAAGCATAAATTGAATGTCTTCAAGCTAATCTATAGTTGTTTGGTACAATGTGATAAAAGACGTGATTCACTTATCAATAATATCATTACATTTACCCAATAAGAACTTACATAGGTTTCTACTATGTGGACTTGACCTTGTTGAATGAAAATGAAGCACTGAGAAAGAAAATTATATAAACACTTAAGTTTACTCATTTGCTCAGATATTCATCAGCTTTCAATAGCAGTTGATAAATATCTCACTAAACCTGCTTCACTTCAATAATCTATATTTTCTATTTTATCTTTATGTCTTCAACTCCAGTTTTTTTAAAGGGCAATTGTGAATGAGTATAAAATTTTTTTCTTCATGGCAGTCTTCTTATCAAAGCTCAAACTTAAATAATATGAATTTGCTGTGAATTATAGGCAATAAAAAATATGATCAATGATACTTCTTGAAGTAGTAACAGAAAAGAAAATACATGCTGTGACAATAAGAAATACAGTAAGCACAAGATTCAAATTTTCTCTTAAAATTTACTTAATATGCAAGTTATCAAAAAAGCCACAGAAAAAATAAAACATCCAACATCACATGTAGTATTGTGTTGACTATTTAAGAGTGTTCGAGTTCTTTAGAATTTCAAAAATACCTCTATTCTTTTGCTCCATAGCCAGCTGCTTCTCAAGTGTTTCTCTTAGTTCTCGTTCCCTTAAAAAATCCATCTTCAACTCCGTTTTTTCCAGTTGAACCTGTTTTTCCTGAGCTCTGGCATTATCTATGGCCACTTTCAATAGCCCCTGCACAAAGACAGTATTCAAAATGGTTATATTTTGGTTCAAAGCACATTTCAATCACCACTTAAATTTAAAAGAGTAAACCTTATTTACCAGATCCTTCAGTTCTTGTGCATTCACCAAGCATTCACTAAGACAAGTACTATAACTAAAGAACAGAACTTCTAAACCCAATTAAACTATTTTAGGAAGTCAAATATTTATGGCATGTAGATTCCACTGTTTCTAACTGGAATGTCAGTCCCAAAACTAAATGAGGGAAGGACCAAACTTTGTCTTAAATTCCACTACTCCAGAAGTAGTGCTCTGGCGTAGCTGAGCATATCTATATGAAGCTAGTGGTCTCCCAATTGTCTTGCAGCTCAATTTCCCACTTCATACCAAGATTACACTACACTACTGCATGGTAAAAACTTATATTCTTTGTGTTCCTCAATCCAACATCTGGTTTTTGCCCCCAAGAATTTTGTTCTTACTCTTGCCCCCACAAATGCTTTTCCTTCAGGTCTCTGCATGACTCAAATCCTCATTTAATTTCATCTTTGCCCAAAGTTCCCACTCAGGATAATCCTTCTTACCATTAAATTTGAAATAGCTCTCAGCTGCATCTTGTTATTCCTGCATTAAAAGTCTTGGTATCACTTACGATGATGTAGTACTATCAAATATTAATTTATTTACTGATTTATATTGTGTCTCTTCACCTAAAATCTCTGAGCCAGGTGTGATAATCTCTCTTGTTCCTCCTGAAGGCTCCAGAGCCTAGAAGGTGCCTAGCATATACAAGACTTACATTTTTTCATAAACAGAAATCATACTAGTAAAATATAGCATATTTAATGGGTTCCAAGCATAATAGCTGAGTACCACATTAGTTTTTAAGTCATACAAAATGGTTGCAATAGTAGGAGTAAAACTTTAAGATACTATTTAATAGTATAATAATTCAAGAGTGCATATAGTGAAAAAAATGTCTGTTTTTGCAACTAATCTACATATTAAATTGACTTTAAATATCTAGAAGTAATTTAAGATATTTGAAAAAGAGTCTATCAGAACATGTTAACCATAATAATAGTATAGTTCTTGGCTAACATTCTTTTTTTTTTTTTTTTTTTTTTTTGGGTCCGGTGGTGAGGCCTGAACTCTGGGTTGGCTAACATTCTTTATGCTACAATGACTAGTAAAAATTAGAAATGAAATTTTTGTCTTTGTCAATCAACACCATAAAATGCTACCTTCCATAGAAGGTATTGTGTCTAGGTCTATGACTATTACACATATTACACACTGAAATTTTCCATTAAAATCATATATGAGATAGAAATGGATACAATTGGTAGGTTAAATCAAAGATATAATCCTTTTGCACAAGTCAAGGGAGCAGTCCGAATCAGGGGTTTCAACTGTAGTCTGACACTTATACCGAACAAAGGTGTAGCCTTAACTTCAGCAGAACAATGTAGCATTTTGCATTTCCATAGATACTTTTAAAATTTTTCTCTAAACACATCTGCATCATTTCACGTCTGTTTTACCTGACATTGAATACCCTGGTACAATCCTTATGATATGAAACTAGATGGAGAGGGATTTTTATGTGGCAGTGTACCCCTCCCCACTCTTTTGTTGTTTAACAATAAAGCATAGCTGTGAATGTAAGGGAATTGCCATCTTAACTCAATTTAGCAACATTCTTGTATATGTTTCTTCTTCATCAGGAACAAACAATTAGTAACAAATGAAAGAGATCATTACATCAAGTGCCCTTTTAGATCACCCCAATTAAAACTTTAGTTTAGCTGTATTTTAATTCTAAGATACCAAATTCTAATTTTCTGCTCTGATTGCTCTTGTTGACTTATCTTTGAAAGATGTACTCTCCATGCAATGTCTAGAGATTATTTAGCAAGATGCCAATGTTGGCACCACTTAATGTGTTGATTGGTTGTATTATCAGTAGCTGTTTAAAATAAATTACTATTAAACTATTATTGTCCTTGGATGACAAAACACAATATTTTGGTGTTCTTTAAACATGAAACAATCATTATGAATAAACAAATTGAATAATGCTAAACTGTATCGCTCATTGTATGATAAGAATTTTAATTTATAAAGAACATAGTTGCTAAGAGCATTTTTCTTTACTATTATTTTTACAGTTTTTTCTAATGTGGAAAATGGCAATGCATTTCTTTTTTTTTTTTTTTTTTTTTGCTTAAGCCTGAAATCATTACCTTGTAGAATCCTATACCTTTTAGGGACTACTTATAAGTTTATAAAATTAAAATCTTAGACTTTAAGTCAGTGTATTTCAGTAAGAGTTTAATATGAACATAACACTTCACTGGTGTCAAACAGATACAAATGCAAAAGGACAGTTCTGCAACAAAAAATAAAGAAAATGATTAAAGTTCAGTGTAATAGGGGAATGGGAAAAACAATAGAGGGAAATGAACGCAAGATCGCCACACCATTAGGACATAGTTTTAACCATCAATGATTCTAATGGTTACAAATTTGTGTTGCTTCTATAAATTTTCCAGGTAGATGGTCTGCAAAAGACCACCCAAATGCTGGTTCTCATTTTAGAGAGGCAATATCTAGCAAAATGCTGGGTTGAATTACTCTTAAAAACAAAGTATAAAACATGAATTTGTCTCCAAGAAGAGTTTAGTTCTAGGGATGCTAAAGTTGAATAGTGACAGTTTCGAAGAAATAAATTTTATGCTAATTCTGGTGCCTAGCAATGACAAGAAGCAATGGCTTTTGGCCTCAAATTTACTTTGCATAATTGTTGTATGGTTGTTACAGTAATATGCAATTGTTTAATTTTCCCTCATGGTCTAGCTTATAAGTGAAATTATTTTTATTCTTTCTTTTTTTTCCAGAGAATAAGCCTACACTCAATGTATACTCAATGAAACTAGAAAGGTTGAGGGATAGGTGAATGGAAAGTGTGGGGGAATCTGATGAAAGGGGCAATCAAAATGCATTGTACTCATAAACTGCCATGTTCAATTGTAACCCCTCTGTATGACTAGTTAAGAAGAATAAAAGTGTAATTTATGTAAGTGTATTAACTGGAGAATGGTAGATTTAGGGTAGATTGTACTCATAAACTGCCATGTTCAATTGTAACCCCTCTGTATGACTAGTTAAGAAGAATAAAAGTGTAATTTATGTAAGTGTATTAACTGGAGAATGGTAGATTTAGGGGAGAACTCAATGGTGTAAGTCATTAGAAAGGCTAATAGTCTGACAAAATGACCACCAAGAATTGGTACTCAAAAAAGGAGGGTGGTATCAAGGATAGGAGGCACATGAATGAGGAGAGAAAGAGAGGAGAATGCAGTCAGAGAATTTAATGCATATCCTACAAAATTAAGAAAATTGAAAAAAGAGATGGGTAGGGGAAGGATGAGGGAAAACGATGAAAAGGTGACAATGATCAAGATGCATTGTGTTCATGAACTACTTTGTTTCATGGCAACTTTGTAAAACTACTTTAAGAAAGGAGAGAGAGAGAGAGAGAAGGAGAGAGAGAGAGAAGGAGAGAGAGAGGGAGAGAGAGAGAGAGGAAAAAAGAACAAAGCTGAAACAGAAAATTATGTGTGTGAGGGATTCACAGCAAATAGTCTAGTAATAGGACTACCACCTCCTACATTTAGAAAGTAGAAATAGCTATTTGCATAAGATAACTCCAAGTAATATTATGAAAGAAAAGGTGTTAACATGCTAGTTACATCCAAGAGTAAAAGGTTATTTGGCTTAAGGAAGCTTTTGTATTTTATGCAAGTTTGTTTTTGAATCACTTGTTCAATAAAATTCCTTGATATACCAGCACAACTATGTTTATTGCAGCAGTATTTACTATAGCTAAGACATGGAACCAACCCAGATGTCCCTCAGTAGATGAATGGATCAAGAAAATGTGGTATATATACATAATGGAATTCTATGCCTCCATCAGAAAGAATGACATTGCCCCATTTGTTAGGAAATGGAAAGACTTGGAAAAAATTATATTAAGTGAAGTAAGCCAGGCCCAAAGAAACATAGGTCCCATGGTTTCCCTTATGTGCAAGTCATTGGGACTTAAATGCCAAAATTTGTGCTCAATAATACACTGATGAAAATGTGTATAAAGCTGTGGCCCAAAAACGACTTTAGTAACTACTCATTCTGCTGAAAAAAGTTAAAACCATAAAAGTAGGGGAATTAGGTGAATTATCCAATATCCCATATTGTGAGCTGAGAAAGACTAAATCACAACTTCATCTATTTAAACTTTTTTTTTCCTTTCACTATTTCCCTGTGTCTTTGAAGAATGAGAAGGAATAATGTCCCTTGGAACTAGGGCTTTGTAGACTAAGGAAAATTAGACTCACAGATAGAATCAGCTGACACATTATCATAGAAGCTCATAAAAAGTAAGGTAAAACTACCCTGTCTCATTTTACAGTTATTAATCTCTAAACTTTTCATATCATTCATCAATATAAAATAGTTCCTTTGCTGTGACTTTATTGTCATTTTACATTTGTAAAAATAATTCAATGTCAAGAAAGAGCTGTATAGCTAAAATAGTTAACAAAAACCTGATGTTCAATTTTTATATGTAAATATAATAATTTTCTACAAGTCTTGCTTGTGTGGGGGGGCTTGAACTCAGGGCCTCACATTCTAGCTCAACTTTCTTGCTCACAGAAGGTGCTCTGTCTTGCCTAAATCCAGATATTTGCTGGTTAATTTGTAGATAGAAGTTTTTGAACTTTTCTCTCTCTCTGGGCTGGCTTCAAACCACAATCCTCTAAGTCTCTGCTTCTTAGATTATTAGGATTACGTATAAGCCTGACATCCAGTTTACATGTACTATTTCAAAGCTGAAAGAAATGACTTGAAAATTCAGTGTTGATAATGGTATTATGAAGAAGACAAATACAGTAACCATCACAAATTTAGCCACTCAAAATCATCATATTATCATATATCATCAACGTACTTTATGGCAGTGGGGTTTTAAGTACATTATTTTGAAGAGTCCAGGGATCTCAATTTTAATTAAAAAAAAACATTCCCCAAACAAAGATGGGGTTCAAAAACTACAGCACTATTATAGTGTTACAATTTTGACAGAGAAAGCAGAGAATCTCATTACATATATTAGAAACTCAAGATGAAATCGAGGTAGGCAGAATTAACTACCCAAACTAAAATTTAGACAGCAAACACATTTATACTATATGCTTAATAACTCAGGGTCATGACTTTTTAAACATTCTATACCATACCTAGTATATGATCATAATTCAATAAATGTGGTAATAATCAGAGTTAGCATCTGTGACCTTTTGTAAAATACATTGTGGAATCATTTCTGAACATAAATTCACTATACATGCACGTTTCAGTATGTGTGTACATAAATGTATGTATGAATGAAATTCTGTAACATTTATTTGTTTTGAAGGGGTGCTGTGGAAACTCAAGATTTCAAGCTATCTAGGTAGGTGCTCTACAAATTGAATTATACCTCCAGATCTCAATAATATTTTTATCTTTAATTTACTTTATATACATGTTTGTGTATATTAAACATATATAACATGTCTATGTTTTGGGGTACATGAGTGTAAGGTTGAAATGAGCAAGCACTGATTAGTTGAAGCATTCCTATTACAGGTATTCTAAATTTATCAGACCACAATTATAATTTGAGAGTAGAAAGAAATAATTTAGGTTCTATTGAACCTTACCTCTATAAATTAGGTCTTAAAGATATATAATTGGAAAGGAGATTGTTAGTCCTGGAGCCAGTACAATAAATAAACATTCTGTCAAAATCTGGGAATTGTAAACGTGTTTTCTTCACTTCCTTTGTTTTTTTTTTCTTTCCATTTTTAAGGAAATAATTTGAGGTGATGTTGGTTGTCAGAGTGTTCCTGGCATAGAGTAGGTGGGTGAAAATAACTCAGCGGCCCGCTTTTTGTTTACCAAGAAGTGCGGTGGTTAGCATAGGGCAAGGTACAGGAGTAAATCCACTTTTCAGAGGGGTATGCCTGTTTACATTGACAAAACCCAGATATGGCTCCTGGGCTGAAAGGGAATTTAATTCTCGCTGGTTTGGTTTAAGAACTCTCAGTTGATGAAGATAACACACAAAGAGCTTTTCCTTTGCTTCTCAAGGAGTTACACACATAAGAAAACAAATTATACCCCTACTTTTCTTAAATTGAGAAATGTTGAGCAATGTTTTCTGAAAGCATTTAATTTAACCAGAAAGACATTCACTAAAAGCTTTACCTCATAGAAAACAATTATGTGGGTGAAATGTAGGGGCTAAACGTCATGTGTTTATTTTAAAATATAATCAATTATTTGGAAATGATTAAGTTTAGCCTGGATTAATGACTTATTTCAATTACTGAGATATAAAACCTTAATGTTGAGTACAGTTCTGGAGACTCTAATTACATTAGTATTAAAAATGCCATATTAATAGATGAGAAGATATGTTAGACTTTTAAAGGCCTTCTGTTATGTCCTTGGAGAGGTAAATAAAATTAATTACATTTCTACTGGGAGAAAGTTTAATATAGTAGGAAAATATCACTGAGGATAGAATGTTGGAGTAGAAATTTCAAATAAAACATGGGTAGCCATATCTGCAAGCTCATACTTACTTCTAGTTAGTGAGTACAACTACAGAGAAGTAGATGGTGAAAATCTCCATCTGGGTCCCACATGATCACTTCATGTGTGGGCAAGAGAATCATGCTTTCTTCTATTCCAAACACTCTTATTATCTTGGCTCCATGCTCTATGTTATTGTTAACTGTACGTATTTTTGATTCATAATGTACTATACGTAAAATATACATCCTGACAACCACATAGGATATCCGTGGAAAGTTTTGTATGGCTTTTTGAAGTCTATTCTTTGAAGAAACTCTATTAGTTGAAACAAACTTATTTATGAAAGAGGGGCTTTTTTATTCTTCTATACTAGACATATTTAAAATGAATAAACATATCATTTCCTCACTGAAAGGCCTGCAGTTTAAAGTTATGTAAATATTTATTAGAACTGGTGTGCCGTCATTTAGTAAACTAGACAAACTTAAACAGCTAAATCCGTCCCAGTATCTGGCAATGAAGAGAACATTGGAAGCAAAATGTTTTTTTTAATGCCCATGTCATTTTCATCTAAGTATTTCATATATCTTGATATATGTAGTTGAGTATTTTCAAAATAATTTTATTCGTGTGGTAAATTGAAATATATATTACTAGGACAAAGTTGAATACCATGGTCCAGTCAATAACATGAATGGATTTAGTTGGGATACGTTGAATTTTAGAAAGAAATATTGATATCTGAGTGTTTGATGTCCCTCTCTTGCAGACTGCAAAAACAAAAGGCCTACCTGGATATTAGTCAGAAGGGTCTCTATGGAAGACAATCCATCAGGAAACAGGAAAGGAGATGGAAAACCTGGAGGCAGAGGTTGTCCGTGCCCAGTTAGAGAAAGTTTGTCAAGGCTGTCTCTTGCGGTTGGTGTAGAAAGTGGGGTCTCATCTGTATGTGATTGAAACAAAAATATAGAACAAGTTACGCTTGTCTGTTTTTATTAGACCTCAGTAATGGCTTCCCTAGTGGTTTCCAGAACATTTATTGCAAATTGGTTCCTGCTATCAGGAGAAAATGCTTTCTGCTGAATTTTCTTTAATGAAAAAGCTGTGGAGATACAACAAGATAACATTAATGAGTAACTTTATAAGCCTTTTAAATGCAGTCTCTAATGAGACTGAGTTTACAGTGCCATAGAATCTTTTTAAAACAAATATTATCTCATATATAGTTGTGATAATATATTCAGGCTGACTTTATGGGCACCTTCCCAATTATCTCATTTTAGTTTGTGCTGTTTGGATTGACAATAGAATATTTCTAGGGCCTCATGTAAGAGAAGTGCTTTGCATATTAGAATGTTTTTTTTTTCTTAACTAATCTTTTTATGTTAAGAATATTTCCAAATATATTCTTAAGAACTTAAAAACAAATTAGAATTACAATCTTTCATTTCAGAGTTAAAAAAGTAGAATCTAAATATATTTTTTCCTAAAGTATAACCGAATTATTCATTACCATTAAATCATGAGACCTTGAACTTTAAGTTCTTTTGAAGTTCAGCATATTTTGCTTTTATACTGAAAACCTACAATTGTTTACAAAATGAATAGGTTCTGAAGAAAGAGTAATAAAACAGAAGTTCCGAGCAATAATTAGAAAACTAAATTAATAACTAAAATAAATTAGCATGTACTACACTTGTTGAATACACCTCCACATTCAAAGCAATTTAGAACAAGGCCAAAATGAATATTTTTACTTTGGCACTGAAATCTTTCTACCTGATTATTGTTTAACCATTTTGTAATTTCCAATGAGACAGATACAAGCTGTGGCTTATTTTAGTTTATTGAAATCAAAGTGAAAAATGTATTCAGGGCAGGATTCTCAATTTTATAAATATCTTCATATTTTACCGCAGGAAAATTAATCAGAATAATGTATTTGCATAGTCCTGATACTATCTCTCAATTTTGCAAGTGGATAAAACCTCCAACACATTTGCCTTATAACTAAAATTTGAATTCACTGTTCTTCATGATCATTCTTTCATATTTCATTACAACACCCAACTACTCAACATGTTTTCCAATTAGCTCTATCTGGGAAGAACTATTATAGAAACTCCTATACTTTCTTATCCCTCACTATTGTCAGAACAGGTTAAATTCATCTCCTTCATCTTTCCACATTTGTAGTTAATGAACTGAAAGTAAAGGAAGGTTGGAGAAGGAAGTAAGAACACAGACTTCTTATTAACTATGCTTCTCACTTTTACTCCCTCACTCCTCTGCAGTTTCTCCTTCCATTTCCTCCTCTGTTAACTTACTGGCAAAGGAGACTGGAAAAGTAGTAAGTGATTAAAGCAGATAGGATGTATTTGTATATTTTGTTCATTATACTTGTGATCATGATTAGAAAAGACCTTAGACAAGTGTAGGGCTACTCCATGGCTAGCAGGAGCAAGGTGATTTTGGATGCCATTTGCCTAGCTGTCATAAATTACTCCACTCGCCCAAGGTTGCTAGTGTTTTCTCATAATAGCTCTGAAAAGACACTTGTTAAACATCTATGTGCATGTGAAATTGTTTAAGAATGGGGAGCAATATTTTTTGATCAGCATCACCTTAGCTGTCACATGCTAAAGAAAATGTGGCTTAATAGATCATGGTGATAATAATTGCTTGTCTTTTGAAGAAAGGCATAGAACCAGATGACCACCTGAGGTTGTGTTCTGCTTTATCATCTATGACTTCTGAATTCTTAAATACTGCCCAAGGATAAAAGGATTAAATGTATGGATACAGGAATAAATACACATACACATACATTTGAATATAAATTCCATCACTCCCATGATTATTTATTGAATGCATTTGTGAGTGTCTATAATTGGCTTTCGTGAGCATTGGTCTTTAAATCATCATTATGCCTACATTCAGGTAGCCAGTAATTCCTGAAAATAATGAATGGGAGCACAAAGGAAATATGCACTATGTAAAAGTCTTGAAAACTCACGTTGACTACAGAGATTCCCAGTATTAAGCAGACAATTCTTATACATAGTAAAACACTTTTCCCTCCGCTATTAGTCATTAAACATTGTTTATCTTAGTCAGGGATTAAAATAGTTCTTGTGTGTGGGGAAATGTATGTGTATGTATGTTCATGTGTGATATTTTTTCCTGTGTTATTTCAATGGAATGCTATATTGGTCCAACAATCCTAGCTATATGATAATAGACTCTAATTTGATACAAATTTGTTTATTGTACTGATTTATTAATATTTCTATGGTGGAAATACAACATCAAACTTTTAATATAGATAAGGAACAAATTTAGAGAAAAATGACTACTTAAAACTGGAAGAAAAGGGATAATTTTTAAGATCAATGCACACTTTTCAAAAGAAGGTGGACTGTAAAGATTTAGAAAATGGCTCTTTGTTTTCAAATAAAAGGGATCTTTGATATTCTAAATGTTACAGGAGGATTACAACAAAGTTTGAAAAGTCGGAGAATGTGGTAGTTTTGATATCACATAATTTCTGTTGACTTCAAAAGTGGGTGCTGTGATAAAATATACATTCACAAAATATCTTCCATTTGGAGCCTGAGTACAGACTTGTAAGAGTTTATCTCTAACAGAATGTTGGCTATCCAGATGTCATGATTTTAGATTATTATATCAGTTGTCAATGTAATCCATAAATTCTTATTTTTTATTAAATTAAAAGAAAACTTAAAAGAACTATCCAGGGAGTTCCTTTATACTGCTCACTTGGGTTGAAAGGAGACCATTGTATATATTCATATCCAATTCCAGAAATCTAATAATGTTACTTGATTTGAGAAAAGCTTTTTGTTAAGGATATAATTAAGAATATTATGATGGGGCTGGGAAGGTGGCTCAGTAGTAGAGTGCTTGTCTTGCATGCATGAGGCCCTGGGTTCAATTCCTCAGCACCACATAAGCAGAAAGTGGTGCTGTGGCTCAAGTGGAAGAGCTTGAGCTGAAGGGCTGAGGGACAGCGCCCAGGCCCAGAGTTCAGGCCCCATGACTGACAAAAAAAAATAGATGAGTTCATCCTGATTTAGGATGAGCTCTAAATTCAATGACAACTAGCCTTGTAATGCAAAGGCAAAAGAGATTTGAAGGAAAGAAAAGACACAATAATGAAGGAGAAAAAATGAAAGAAGAGGTAACCACTGTGAAGTAAGTTAGGTTGCCCTCAGAAGTTTCAAGTTGCTACCCAAACTGTTATTTTTAAATTCATAAAGATTTTGAACTGAGTCTACAAAGAACAGCATGGGTTTAAAGCAAAATCTGAACATGTTAAAATTTAGCAAATGATTTCTTTTCTAGAAAAGTTTATTAATATTGTCAATAATTATATAATAATTGTACAATAAATATATCCACAATTATAAGAACATATAATGAACAGGAATAATATAGACAGTAAGAGAAAGCACAATTTTATCTTATACAATTATTAAAAGAGTAAAGGATAAAAATATGATAGTTCATTCTCTTCATCACTTCATGTCATGTATTACTCATATTTGAAGTCACTTTTCTCATAAATGAACATCAGTAAGTAAGATTGATGCCTCTGAAAGACAAACTTTTTTCCCCTCCAATCTTATCACACATAACAATTCAGCAGGATATCCTAAGGAACAGTTTTGTTTAAACCAGTAATGGGCTTCTACTTTTAAAATGTTTTCTTTCCTGTTAATAAAATCTAACTCAGTTGTTATTTTCAAAAGTATTCCCTTTGGATTTGAATTATATGTTCTTTCAAGTGCATGTGTGTGAATCCCTATTGGTTTTCATTAAATTGTGAATTCCAAGAAGAAAATACTCATTTTCTTTTAGAAATACATCCATTTCAAAGAGATTCAAATTACTCATGTCAGTATGAAAAAAATAATATTGTTAATAAATAGAAATTTTCTACATTTAATGGTTATGAAATTAACTTAAATCTGTATGTCTGTGTTGGTACCGTGAAGGATATAGAAATATTTGAAAACATGGTATTTTCTAGTAAGAAGTGAATAATTAGTAATAAAAATATAAACTTTGTTTTGATAAATTTCCATCATGAATTTATAGAAATACATGTTTATATGAGTTTCTGTAAACTCTAGAAGCAAATTATATAACTGAAGTGCATGAGTAATCTAAAATTAAATATTGGTGCTTAGAGGAAGTCATTTGAAAATTATATCCAGACATAAGGTACATAGATGATTATCCTGAACTCAGTCATAATCCCAATGCTGTCTTATCCTTATTCTAGGCACTCTGAGTTTAATATTGGAAAAAACAGTAATAAATTTAAATGTTATGACCCCAGAACATAATCTTAGGTCAGGAAATGGTCATATATTTATTTTTCTACTGTCAACTTCTCAGAAAAGAAGGAAATATGAAGTGTTGCATTCAAATTTATAGGCAAGACTTCTATGAATCTTGCAATGTATATAAAAAGCCTAGGAATACTGTGAAATAAGACTTACTATTTATATTTAATTTCAAGAGTACTTCTCAAATTCCTATATAAAAGTGCTAGAGAACTTTTAGTAAAATTGATTACACAATCCTGTCTGCAGCACATTTATGCTAAATTTAAAAGCAAATCATCCTAGAGACAGATATAATTCTGGTCATGATTCTACCAAATTCCAGTGATTTTAGCGCAATTGGCTTAGTTATTTCAAATGTTACTATAGACAAAAAAACACTACAGTTTGAATCTAATTAAATTATACATGCAAACATTATAAAATATAAGATATTATTTTAACATCAAGTATGAAGAAATAGTATATGGAATAACTAAGTCTATTATAAGTATCTCATTGGAAATTTGAATTCACTCTGGCATTAAGGAAATTCTCTTGGTCTTTATATTATTTCTGTCTAATAAATATT